ATCTGTACGTACGCTCCTTGGATAGTGACGTGTTTTCGCTCATCTCTCAGCTTTTGGATTTTTCCACATTGAAAAACTCCCACTTGCAATACTCAGACTAAAAAGATCGAACGTTTGCAGCACTTCTGTTCCTGCATGCACCTCACCGCTGCGTATTCGTCAGCTCACCTCTCAACAGTTGAAAATTGGCATTATTATTCCTTTGAACCAACCGGTCTACCTCCTGTCAGTGGTTCTTGGGCTTTTCAACTGCCAAACTGCCTTAGCTCTCGGTTCTTCTCGGGGGTCATTCCCCAGGAAATATCTTTCCTGGTTATACATACACATCTGGAGCTTACGGCTAAACTCGTTGGTCAAGAGCAGAAGATCAAGTGACAAGTGTCTGAAGGTGAGCCAACATAAATTATCTTCCCTTTTCTATTCTGTCCTTTTGCTGCATTCAGTCTTCAACCCTCTTACTGTTGTTAACTACTTGTTTTCCCAAGAAGTTTATATCATAGCGACATGTCTGCCCAAAATGCTAGCCACGAAGCTTTGACACGGATAACGCGGTCGTGCACAACAACGGCCAGTAACACCCTAAACAACACACTAGTCTGTACTAGAAGACAAAGAGAGGTAGGGCAGAACACCGAACTTCTAAAGAAGTGGCCAACCCATGTTTCTAGAATTCCAGTCGCCATCAGGCAGGTGACACAGAGTGGCACTAGCTCGTCACAAACTAATCCTATTTTCAGCAAGGATCATGCCATGCCTGAAAATAGAAGACGACGTAAAAGGCCTCGGAACAAGGTAGCCCCAAGTGGTTCACCACAATCCGTAGCACCTTATTCATGGAAAGAAGGCTGTGTTATGACACCCGATGGCTGCAGTGTTTGCACTAAAGTTGTTTCGGTAGTCGATGAGGCATTTGCATCAACCTATGTCACCGATGGGTGCGTTGCCACTGTGACACTAAAGTCCCCCGACAATACTATAAGTTGATGAGGAAACAACCATGCAAGTGGTTCTGGTACATCTGTCCAGAGTGCAGGAAAATGCCCGCACTCTGCACAGAAAGCCTGAAAGAGATGCTCTTCGCCACTCAAAAGTTACCAGTATCTTCGAATAAAGTGGGGTTAACACTAAAGGATAACGTAGAGAGACTTGGAAACAGACCTAGACCTCCAGCTTCGGGCACACCACCTCGCATGGGGACCACATTAGGTCAAGTTTCTATACCTCCTAGCCGGCCCCAGGGGACGTCAAGCGCATGACCAAAGACACCGACCGCTGAACCCTCTACGAAACCCACCCAAACGTCCCACACACCGTGACTGAGAAACAACCAGTGGAATTACTCAAACCCATTGGGAAGTCGGGCTTGCCACCCACAACGAACCCAGGTCACAGGAGGACCAGCTCGATCATTTTGTTTAACTTCGATGTATCGACAGACTCATTAATGGTCTAGAGGGAACGGTTTGACAGCCGAATGTGGACCGGCTACTGTCAGACGCTGGGACTCCCTCCCCTCCCTGCAACTTTGTGTCACCTTTCTCGAGCAAGCCGGGCACCCCGAGGTAGGCCACCTTCTTTACGTGTGTCCCTAAATACTGCCAAAGAGTCCGAAGACACCCTCCTTCTCTCACGACCACCGGACGTTGTTAATGCCTGCAAAATTCGGGCCGGGTTCGACAGGCCATGGCCAATAAGAGAGAAGGAGAGAAAGTCATCGGCTGGAAATCCCAACAGAAACAGCACTAGAGTTGTACATGGGATTCCAGAATTGCCAAGTGACCGCTCGGTTAAGGATCGGTACTTTCGCGACGTCCAACAATGGCAATGGCTCTCAACCAAAGTTGGTCTTGACAGTATACCGGTTGACAGCGCCAGTAGACTGCCAGGGCCAGCGCATCTGAAGTCCATACCCAATCCCAGACCACTCGCCGTCCAGTTAGACTCATATGCCTCCCTCACAGACGTTCTACATGCATGGTATAATGCGAAAGATCGCATGGGTGGTTCAATACGTATGTGTGAAAGTAAGCCTAGAATCACAAGGCAAGAGGAGAGACGGCAACCACCAAGACCTCTGGAGTCAGTGGCCGTTACACAGGCGCTGACCGGTGAGCCAGATACATCAAGTGGAGAAGCCACCACCGCCACAGCCCCCGCCCAAGTTGAAAACAAACACAAAAACGGAACAATGCCAGTCCTCTGAGGACTGGCGACGCTACACCCAACCAAGTAAGCGCTCATCCCACGAAAATACAAAACCAGCTTTCCCCTCTCCCCAGGCACACTCTAATATATATGTACAGCAACGTTGGGGGGCTAAGAGGGAAGGTAGCAGAAATGAGGACGCTACGTGAGCATCAGCACTCCAACATCACATTCATCACCGAATCCTGACTGTAGCCGGACATCTCCGACGAAGAGATGCATGTTACTGGCATGGAACTCTTCCGCAGGGACAGGGAACATAGAGCAGGAGGGGGAGTGGCTCGCTACGTAAATTCCAATTTAAAGGCAGTGGTGGTTAGCGATACAGCCTTGACCCAGCTCCAGTAATCCCTGTGGTGCTACTTCACTCTCCACCGTACCAAATACCTGCTCGGAGTCATATATCGGTCCCCCACCAGCTCCCCTACACATGAGGAAACGATCGTCAAGGCAATCTTAACGACTTCCTCTGCAAATCACGACTCCGTAGTCATTGCCGGTGACTTCAACACCCCATCCATCCTCTTCGAGACGGAAGGGAGGCGCATCAGATCCCTCAATCAGAAGCTGAAGGATGCAATTAAGACTACTGGCCTCTCAGCGAAAGTGGATGATACCACACGCTGGTGACCTGACGGAAACGCACTGCGCCTTGACTAGGTTCTGACGAACGATGAACTTCTCATTGAGGACGTATGCATCCAACCTCCCCCTGGCCTCAGTGACCGCGCCGTAATCACCTTCTCCATGATTACTAGGGAGACTCTATAACTGAAGACGCCCAACACCTTCCCTTGATACAGCAAGGCTAACTGTGAGACCATGGGGGACTATCTCACGAATGCACAATGGCCGGTAGACTGGGCTCATCTCACAACAGATGAACACTGGTTGGAGATGAAGAAAATAATCGCTGGGGCCATCAACCACAGTGTACCAGAAGTAACACACAGACAATCAGTGAGAACCTCATGGTTAAAGCGTTGGACAGAGAGGCTTATCCAGAGCAAGAAGCAGGCTTGGTCAAATGGCGTACATCACGCAGGTAGCCTAACTTCTTGAACTATAAAAGGATTCGCAATCGCTGTAACATTAGAGTGCGTAGTGACAGATTTTCCTATCAAACAAACTTGGCGGCGAGGTTACAAAGCAATCCCAAAAGCTTGTACAGCTTCATGTCGAGAAGAAAGTCGACCAAGGCATTTGAAAGTGTCCCACCCAGTCCTGCTTCACAAAATCATGTCAGCTGGTATAAGTGAACCCCTACTCTCTTGGTCCAAGGGGTACCTGGAAGGGATGCAGTTCTGCACCAAAGTAAACAGAATAGGGTCGGAGTGGAGGCCCTCGATGTCAGGGGTTTCCCAAGGAGCAATCCCAGGACCACTTCTGTTCCTCCTGTTTGTCAACGATCTGCCAGATAAAATATCCTCACCCATCTCCCTCTTCGCTGATGACATAAAAATTTGGAGGGTGGTAAACGAAGAAGCTGATTGTACAGTACTACAAAAGGACTTGCAGCAACTCGAGCTCTGGTCGTCGGAAAATGGCCTGAGCTTCAACCTGGTAAAGTGCAAAGTAATGCACATCAGTAAAAATGAAGCAAGTACGACCGACTTCCAGTACATGTTGAGCAACCGTGCTATCACCAGAGTGTCCATGGAGAAGGATTTGGGAACCAACTTCTCTGACACCTTGGACACCAGCTCCAACTACAAAAGTATGACAACCAGGGCAAATGCCATCCTACACTTTCTGCATAGACAGCCTGGCACCTTCACTCCCGAACTCTTCCTCAGCATTTTCAAATCCTACGTGCGGCCGCATCTAGATGTCTTCAATACGGTGGCCCCACCAACACTCAAGAGAGACTCTAATCTCCTTGAAAGAATGCAAAGAACTGCAACAAAATCTGTTATGGGGCTAAGGGGAAAAACGTATCCTGAAAGACTTAAACACCTAAACCTATTTACCCTGGGTTATTGCAGGAAAAGGGGTGACCTTACTGTGGCATACAAGATCGCCCATCAGGCAGGCCATGCAAACAAATCAATTTTGCCTGCAACTCAACGATCTCCACGAGGAAACCTCATTAAGATAGCACACCAGAGAGCCAACACCATACTCAGGTCCAAATTTTTCTCCCTAAGAGTATGTGCTTTATAGAATGCCTTGCCGTGACATACCGTTATAGCTCCCTCAGTCGACTCATCCAAGAGATGATTAGACAGTTATGTCACCTCGCATGGACTACCACAGACGTACTCAGGTAGTCACCAACCTCAGTACCCCCCCAACTCCCTCCTAACTACCACTCACTATCTCCCTCCTTAATACACCCACATCACCTACTAATTCTTCCGTAGGAACCAAACCCATGCGACCATTCGCGCAATTCCCAAATACTTTTCTTTCTTTCTTATTTCTCTTTTTCACCCTTCCTTTTCTTCCCCTTCCATTCTTTTCCCTTTTCTCTTCCACTATTATTATTTTTCTTCTTTCTTTTCCTCTCTTTTCGTTCTTTTACCACTACCTTACTATCCTATTTCAGGTATCTAAACAGACAGGAGTCACGGCAGTTCCCTGAACTTCCCAGCAATCCCCAATCATTCAACAAATTACAACTTACTGATCCACAAAACATCCACCTCACCGAAGCTAAAAGCAAGAAAGCAGAAGGGATCTGCTCATCCACTTCAGGATTGAACCGAACAACTCGAACAAAGCCCTGAGAAATAGTCGCAAGAGATCAAAATTACCAGTTTTCTACAGTCGCACTATCAGTTTGGATATTTTATATTGGACCCCGCGTGTTTTAAAGCTGGCGTTATGTGTTTGTCAGATGTCTTACGAAAACATGTTCTGTCGAGCATGGAATTGGTGAGTTTTTTCCTGACATCAATGAATGATGTCCACAACATAAATCCTCATCAACCCGTCTATCACCATTTAACATACCGGGCGTTTGTGATATGCTTGCATTAGTTCACATGTTTTTATTATCCCACCCATCTTCATAATTCGAGTGATTAGGATGAGCGGAAATGAGTAGTCGTCGGTAAGTTGAAATATCTCTCGTGAATAACTAACAGTGGACTCACTGCTCGGCCTAGGCTACAGCAGACATCTAGTATAACAAACACAAAGCATTGTGATGTATGTTTGGACATCATTACCTTTGTCAACTTTTCTTCATGTTTTTGTGGCCTATCTTTTTTCTGAATAAACTTCATCGAAACATGTGCTGGTTGAAAATCTTCTTACTTAATTTTGATTGTATTCATCACTTTTTGGATGACTGAGCCTAAGTCATTTCACTTTAGAGTTGCACATAAGTGATTAAGTTTTCGTTAGAAAAACTTATGGATTTGGAACTCCGTTAAATTTAATAGCAGTTTCCATGAACTGAAATTTATGATTACCGGTTGCATCATATGATGCAAAAGAAAATCTTTCTATATGTGGTCACTACTTCTAAGGCTATCAGTAGATAAACTAAAAAGACTTCTGCGATCAGCGAAGGAGTATTGACGTCGGGTTGTTTATCGTACATAATCTTAAATATCTAGTAAAATTTGAGTTTTGATGCAGACTTTCTCTTGACTGTCAGTCTCTTTTCTAACACCAACGTAATCTTTGCATTCGTCACTGCTTAATGAAATCACATTTAGGTGGATCTGGTAAGCATAGTGTAATATTCAGATTACTAGAAGTTCCAATGCCTTTGAAGTTAGACCTAATTGATAAGTGGTTTCCAGAAATTCGCATGGCGTTTTCAAAAGAGTAAAGTCGTAGCAATACTATGACATTCAACCTAGATTGAGTACAAAGTTTTCAAGTTAAAAGTGCCCGTCGACTTATTTGAATAAATTAAAAACGTAACTGCGGCTCAAAAACCACAACCAATTCCGTTTAATTTACAGTGGGCTGCAACTTTTGTGTATGGTTTGTTGAAACTAACTACGTAGGGTGCAATTCAAGCCTATGACCAAGTATTCGAAAGTCGAGTGTCTTGACCAATAAATCTTAGCTCAATCAATAGCGTAAAACAGTAATAATACTTGTTGTAATAACAACTGAATTGCCTGCGCGATCTGACTTACAAGACCCATTCTCCTGCTTGTCTCATATGACACCCGGAATGCTTGAAATGAATTTATGAACTAAATGTAGAATGTCGATTCATGACTGGTTGAGTTTGACGTCTTGTTTGACAGTAAAAAGTCAAACAGTTGGTGGTATACGTTGGATATGCTCATGCAGTTACTTAAGTGGATTGTTGGCTGTCAAACTCACAATACGAACGAAAAAGATTTATTTGGTTTTTGTCACCCTATTTGTGAAATATCCAGATGCCTATCAAAGTCCTTAACAGACACATCAATTTGAATGTCATGATACACCCCAATAGCCCCAAGCCGAAAAATTAACAAGGACAGACAAATATCAACAGCAGAAAGATAGATGTGCTTAGCAGAGGGTATATGCAGGCAGTGATTAATTCTTCAGACTATAAGGAGATAACGATTACATTTATCTGCAGAACGATGAGGCTGTGGCTCATTAGGTTGCGGGTTCGAACGCAGCTCCACCTATAGAGGTTTGGGCCACTAGGAAGTACCATCCCTCACAATCGGTGAGTTGTTGAGAGAGTACTGCACGATACCATATGGTCTACTTAACGCAACCTACTAGTTGGAAGTCGAGTACCTGGACCTATGAGCTACAGCTCTACATCTCTGTTTTCGCAAAGCCGATTGTATCTGCTGATAACATCATCCAAGTAATTACGAAGACTGACGAACAGACAGATAAATTTGATGTAAAACTCTCAAAGGTGCATCAGTTCAAGTCGCTACACCTCAGTGCAGTATAAAAAGAACAAGGGGATGGGAAAGACTGACATCAAAATAGACATAGGTGTGTGGGAGGAGAGGGAATTTAAAAATTAGGGTCAGTCAAATCATTCAAGCTTTAAAAGACATCAAAGAGTAAGACCATCCGCGCCATTGTGCCCAATTTTCGGCCGTTTCATCAACAGTACTCAACCGCTGATTCATATCGTCGTGGGGTCCCCAGCCAGGCAGTCTACACCTCCGTACACTCCCTAGATCAAGAGTCAAGGACTTCATGGGCTGGTGCCATTTCTTAATCTGGCCACCCTGAACCCTCTTCCAACCTAATCCAACTTCTGCGAGCATTGCACGTCGAGGTAAGCAGTGGCTCGGCATGGACAGCATTTCAGTCTATGATAGTTTACAGCCTCATCGACCGACTTGCCTTCCTTGCCTAGTAACCGTCGTCTAACTTCGACATTGCTCACATGGTGATTCTACTATAAGCAAGCAATGCCACCAAGACACCCATGATCAAAACCCTTTAATCACTTCATATCTACTTTTTACGGCTGTCTCACGGTCGTATAACAGGACAGAGCAGACTCCAGTGCAACATACTCGTCCTTTAATATGCAGTCGTGTATCTCACCAGTCGACGCCACAGGTGACGCCAATTGGCAAATGCCAAACGTGCCTTCGGAGTATATTTGGCATGCGTTCCGCACGTGTCATCAAATGTAAGATGATGCTTCAGGACTGGTCTGCAGGTACTCCTAGTTCAGGGATAGACAGTGAAGAGGTGGGATGCATCGACCATTTCACTTACTAGAGTAGTTCCATCAGCTCGAACAGGATGGTTGCCGATGAAATCTCAGCTCGGATACAGAAACTCTTACTCTTAAAGCTTGAATGATTTGACTGACCCTAATTTTTAAATTCCCTCTCCTCCCACACACCTATGTCTATTTTGATGTCAGTCTTTCCTATCCACTTGTGTCGGAGGTTCCACATATATCTTCTATGTCTTCTTTCATAATTCCTCCAGTCAGCAATATGACTTCGCCTTCGACTGCCGTCATAGTGTAGCAGCTTATGCTATGATGGTAACTGCTTGTTGACTGACCACTGCCCAGCAGTTCTTTATGGCGTCGTAGGACCTCAAAAAAAAACAAGCATTCAAAAGGATGTAGGTTCTGTTATTGTGAGGTGCTAATCCACATTATGCGTCAAGGCAGTGGCTATCGGTCAACCCAATTGTATTAACTCGGTAACGTCTTCTTAACGTTGGACGTTTTCAAATCCCCCCCATATATCTTTGTCTCTTATGATGTCACTGTTTGCTACCCACTCGTCCCTTGCATGCTACTGATGTATGTTAACGTGAACTGATTCATTTTGGTGGGATGTTCTATGTTTATTTTGTCTGTCTATCTGATGCCGTAGTTAGGTTTTGTCTTCCACATTTCAGTGGTAAAAGTAGAAAATTGTTAAATCTCCAATGACATATTTTGTTACTTCCCCCTTAATTTTCGGGCTTATAAATCGTGAGTGCACTCTACATTTTATATGCATTATCTTTCTGAATTGATGATTGTATTTGCTTGTTGTTCTGTACTATTATTAACGTTGTATCCGTTTCTTTGCTCGACCTGCTGTTTACTTCACTCTTAATATTGCCGAGTGTAGTTAGTTGTACTGATATTCTGATTTGAAATATTAGTTGCTGATATTCGTCTGTTTGGATTCGTCTTATTCGGACTGAGTTGTTCTCTAAACTAGTGTTTTAGCTGGTAACTAACAGCCTAGCTCAGAGAACAACTCAGTTTGAACACACACTGAACTACAAGTATTCACCACAATTTCTAGACTTCGTAGATTTTGAAATCCATGTCGAAAAGATGGAAATAATCGTATTGATGGTTTGTGGGGATCTTATTCAACAAATGATCAAACTAGAGGAATGTTTCCAGTTATCTGAGCTGTCATATAAGCAGCAGCTTTCAGTTATGCTAATACGCGATCACACAGCGATGAGTCTAACATTGAGACAGCTATACATTGCTCCCAGGTTTTCAATAATTCTCCAACTGATGTTAATTCGTCATGAAAATTACTTTCCAATCAACTAATCTCTCCAAACCAAGAATTGAACGGATAAAATTGTCTAGTTCAGTTTGTTTTATTCGTTTGTCATTAATATAATTCAGTGCCTTCGATTCCTTATGTTAGATTGTAAGTCTCAATTTCATTATCCATTATGTTAGAATAATAATTGAAAGATACTATGATTTTCACTGTTTTAGTGACCCCAATATTATCGGTAATTTTTTATTGTCTAGCTGTTTTTAAATTTTTGGTTCTGATTGTAACACTTGTAATTTTGCTTCTTGTCCCCAATAATTCATAGCAACAATACGCCACTGCATGTTATTGGGCTGACAAGCTTGTTTGTTTAGAAAAATGTAAGGATAGGTTCCGAAGTCAATGAGTAAATCTATTTAGATCGTCCTGACGATGTTTTACTCTACGCCAGAGCATTGTATCAAAGTCGACAATATCATCGTGCAATTGCCCTGATTCAAAATTGCAAAGATCTGAAGGTACGTTTAGTGCTGTGGTTTTAAAATATTTATATTTAGCAATCGCTTGTTTGCCGTTATTTCGTTGCCCAGTGTTATTACGCTTGCTCAGAATATAAAACAGCTCTTGAATTCCTCGAACAATCTGACTCTAACTCTACCGATCTCAATCCTAATGTAACCTCACTGGTGGCCGGTCCTTTATCGAAACTATCCTTGCCACCAGACTGTGAAGCCGCTGAAAATGATGATTCACCAAAACAACTGAATAAAGCTGTGACAGACGAAATGATAAATGGCTTTACTTTAGAACATGTATATTGTGGAATTTATTATATTGCATATTTAATCCTTACAAACATTTCTTAGCTTCACAGTAGTATTGCACTGTTGAAAGGAAAATTATATGAATTAATGGAAAATCGATCACTAGCAATACAATTTTATAAAGAAGCTTTACGTCTTGATGTAACATGCTATGAAGCTTTTGAGAAGTTGGTACACTTTCAGTCGATTAGCTCAGAAGAAGGTGAGTTATAATGTTTATGACAATATTAACTGGATTTATCCTGTTATATTATTGAACAGAATCTTCACTGTTAAACGAATTAAATTTTGTTGACCATCCGAATCGGTTGATGGGGAAGTTAACTGAATTCCTTTATAAAGATAAATTGAGCAAAGTAAATATTTGTATAATTAATTACTAGAAACATTTATCAAAAAGAATTCAGTTGCAGAAAACAAGATACCGGATGAATTTGCTGTATTAGATGATAATGTTGATGTTATTGTTAACAAAGCTGGACGTATGCTGGATGTCTGCCGATTTCAAGAGTGTTATGCTATCACATCCAGGTAAAAGCAAATAACGAATTTTTAAGCTCCTTTCTATATATATATATATATATATATATATATATATATATATATATATATATATATATATATATATATATATATATACATTTACGTTTTGTAGATTAATGCGATTGGATCCATACAACCTCGCCTGTCTGCCAGTTCATATATCTGTTTTAAAGGAGTTGGAAAAAGCAAATGGTATACATGTGTTTACAATTCTTGCTAAATAGTCTCTCACTTTTAAAGAACTTTTCAAAGTGTCTCACCGACTTATGGATGTATATCCTACAAGTGCAGTATGTTACTAATCTTATATTTCATCATATATATATATATATATATATATATATATATATATATATGCCTTTTTTAATTATAGCTTGCATGGTTTTCAGTCGGTTGCTATTACTTATGCATTAAAAAGAACGAACTTGCCAGACGACATCTTGTGTAAGTTTATTCTTGATGTATTATTCAAAGGATATATAGCGTATTAATTGTGAATGGTTTATAATGAACATGGTATAAATGTCTGTCTTTTTGTATTCAATGTTAATAATTTATCATTAATATTGTGGATCTAAAGGGTTTACTCATAACTCCAGTTCTAATGTGTATTCATAGTAGTGATGACGGATAGAATTGTTGATTGGAAAATCACACTGGAAACTTATAGAGTATTAGAACCCTACGTTCAATACAGTTCATTCAAGGAGTTTTTTCATTCTATATTCAAAATGAATCATCGTTCAATTGCTGCTACATTTTTCCTTGTATTCTGTTTTTCTTTCCAATGCATCTCATTTCTTCTCCTAGAGCCTCCACCGCTTGAATGTCAACTTTCATTGCTTTTCACAATGACGTTGCGCTTTATGCTAATTATATGTTCTTATAAGTAGCACAGAATATAATATACTTGGTGATTATTTTACTGTAATATTCTAAATCTTATTTCTAGAAAAGCTTCACAACTAGACAGAAGATACGGTCCTATATGGCTTACACTTGGACATGCATTTGCGGCAGACGGCGAACATGATCAAGCCATCGCTTCTTATTGTACAGCTGCCCAAGTCATTCGAGGGTACGTTCATATTATAAGCGAATTTCATCCTTTTGTTCCTATTATTATTACCATTACAACACAGATGTGTGCCTAAATGTAATTAGAATAATAGTGAAAAAGTCATTTTAGGTAACTGAAAACACTGATGGACATGGATTTCCACCTAACTTCTGGCATAAAATAATTACTGGTGTGGTTTGTATCTGCCTGTAATTTCCTCGGCGTCTATTCTGACAAAAGTAAACGTAGTGTGTGATAATATGTCCTCTTCATTCCCTCCTTCTAAACTATAAACTCACGTTAGCTACCTTACGAGGATTGTTCTCAATCTCGTTAGGATAACCATGGAGTACATCATTTCATATCGGATTAACTTCATTTATATCTTCCAATAATCCTCTTCACCCAATTTGTATTGTAAAATTATGTGTTACTTGAGCCGAAATCATCCAATTTCCCAACGATTTGTGTCGACTATGTACTTGAACTTAATTCCTGTCTGTCTTGTATATGCGCATAATTCTGTAAAAATAGAATAAATCACTTCTGCAGAATTTGAATGTTGTTTACATTGACTTCATAGTTTTCTAAACCATGTCTTAATTTGTAACGGAAGTATTGCACTTGAGCTATACTGTAGATGATGTTGAAAGTAGTCTGTATGAGGTCTAAATTATTTTGTCCATTTTAGGTGGTCAATACAACTCGATACTGTAGCGCAGCGAACTTAGTTTTTACACTTTTAATTATAAAAAATAATATGCAGCAACAAGTAAATAAAATAAGTTCTACTAGCAAGTAATATAGCTCTCTGTTGAAAAAAAATCAAAGCTACCTAAACTCTGAACTATCTTCAGTATTAGTAAGTTGGCAAGTCGTTGTTTCTCCAAACTGTTTAACATGAATGACTGAAACATCAAGGAACTATTTCCCACAACTAGTTATCACTTAATCGTCTTATTTTTTGCTACAAAATAACCAATGCCATTTGTCACGAAGGCGCTTGGTAATTCGACCTATCATCATTTTTCAATGTTCGTCTTGTTGAGAATATTGTAGTATGCACTTCTTTTCAATTGCATGATTTGTAGTAGGCCTTCAAAAAGTAGTTGTAGTGTGAATCAAATTATAGTTTAACAGGTTTTGGTTTTTCACCGACTGAACTAGTTGTCAGTGTGACTCAAAATAGCCGATGTTGTTGTAAACTAAACCGCCATGTCAAGTCTTCTTCTTCTTCTTCTTCCACTCTCGTAACTTCTTTTCTGGGAAAAAGGATCATTCACTATTTCGTTGTCTAGAGACAAACACTGATACAAAATTTTAAACGCAGCCACAGTTTACAGTTTATATCGAATAGGGACATCTGAAGACTGTATCAATAGTAATGACCTATCACTGAGTTTATTGTGAATGGCTACTGAATGAAAACAGTGTCTATCTTTTACTAAAATTTATTCTTAACCACGAGAATTTTTTGAACATATCACCTCAGTTGTAGATTATAGATATTAGCATATTCAATAAGTCCTGTATTCGCTAATGTAATCCACCTGTACTGTAAATCAGTATCAAAACATTTTTCTGAGGTTTCTAATTGTGATGCTCAAAGTATCATTTACATGTGGCTTTCAACCATCCGATTACGAAGAATAACTTATGCTTAAGTAGCAATAAATGGTGATTAGCAGTTAATACTTCCACAATGCAACATTTTTTAAAACAAAAACGTCAGCATACTTACACACTTGAGGTTGACTTCCTTTGAGCCTCAGTGGTAAACTGTCATCATGCACTTTTTATAGTACTGCTTATAAAATATCGGTGATAGGACTCTAGGAGGACAGCGAACACAGACAACTCTTTGAAGCTTATTTTCCTGTTTGAAATATAGTAAGTGTTTCGCTATATTCTTTTAATGTGCCTTCAGTATTTTTGTAAATAGGATTCAAAGTATTAACAAAGCGTTCAGCGAAAATGATCTCTATGAAAGCAGACTTAATACTAAGAGGAACAACAACAATCGCTAGCAAGTAACCGATGTAGTTGCCTAATCCTCAGTGCTTAGCACTAATTAAAGTCTACCAATACAGTTTTGCATTGTGGTCACTAAGCTAAGTGACACTGGTTTGTGCTACTTATACGAACACATGTAAGTAGTATAGAGCATGATTTCCCTAGGAAAAGTTAGCACAGTTATTATTCAGTCAGTAGAAGTGCTAAAAGAGGGAACATAAAAAAGGAATACAAAAAAAAATGAACGAGTATCAGAATTTGAAAACCAACTAGTCTTGGATACAGAATGCAGAGATTATTTGCACGAACTGTGTTCGATGTAATATTTTTATATATTACTAACATTAAGTGTAATTTCCCAATAAACAATTTCATCAGTCCTCGGCTTTGTTCTTATTATAATAGGACACTGTAGTGCTATGTATTTTAGTGTTGGGTGTCAATCAATAGGAAGCCTTAGACTTTGGTTTGGTGCTTGTTGGCAATGATCAACAAGGCATATCAATAACCATGAAAAAACTGATATTCCCTCGGTGATTCGAACTTGCGTCAATTGGTGTTGATGTCAGTAAGCGAGACAGATACGTTGGTTATCCACTGGTTCAGATAATCCAATCCTACAGAGAGTTAGTTGTGACCTGAATAGCGTAATGGTTACGTTTGTAACCGGAGTGACGTAGGCTTGAGTTATCGAGGGAAAACCAGTTTTCTCATGGTTGCAGGTACACCTTGTTGATGAGTGCAAAAATGCACGAAGCCTAGTTTCAGGACTTCCTGCCAATTGACTCCCAACACGTAACAGCTTTACTTGTATGTGACATTTGACTACTAAAATTTTTAGTTGTTAAGCGAAAGCTGATGAAGTCAATCTCTGACCAATGAAAAGCTGAACTACCTCACAGGAGTTAATTCCTGTCAGCTGTGCCTCTCATACAATATGATAACCTGCAGCAATGAAACTTTAATCTCAACAGATATGGACTTCAGCATGAGTTTTCACACCTTTTTAAATAATCATGTAAGCACCCTAACCTGAGTAGGTAGAAAAAGTGACCATGGATTTTTCGTGGTACCGTTGGTACCGTTTTCTTCAAAACTAGAAAGCAAAAGTGTTTTCATCAGGATTTACCTTTCAAACTGCCTCAACTTGAGCACTGAGTATCTTTGTGTTTGACTAGTTGATAACACCTCTTGACATATTTGATTGCTAAGACTCTCCACTATCTGCTGCCGACATATTATGGAACAATTTACTTCTGAAGTTGTCTCACCTGATGCATTGAGTATCTTTGTCAAGAAAATATACTTGTAAAATCCCAAAAAGGTCGAAAAACAAATTTCTGACGTTTGGGGATCACGTAGAAGCTGCCTCTGCAGAGAATTAAACCTGCACAAGTTATCGCATGTCTGATTAGTAGATGGAGAAAAATCATATCACATTGTTCAAACATGATGATAACATGAGCATAAATGTTATCGTTATCAATTATCAGTATGTGAGTTCAAGGTGAATAATATAAATGTGAATGAAAAGTTAAGTTTGTTTGTATGCATATGTAACTTAGTTATGGTTAGTGTGTATAACATTATTTCAGATATACTATCCAAGTGAATTGGATAGTTAAACTCTCCTTTCTGTCCAGTGTATTAGGATTCAGCATAATCTGAAGTGCCTCAGCTATCCATCTTTCATTGTAGTTTGAAAGTCCTTTTTGAATAATTTTGACATTTTCAATGTCAATTTTGTGACTATGAAGGATAGCATGAACAGTAATTGAAGATTTGATTTTTAAATTCTTAAGTTCCACAGTATTATTTGAAGGTTGCTTTGTATAGTTTCTACGCTGTTTAGCACGAATGAGCACTTTTCGAGGTGATTTTCCTATGTAATAGGCATAACAATTGACAGTCTAATTTGTAGACACAATTCTATGTGCAAGTAAAAAGAATCGTATCTTTCATGTGAACTTGGCCATTCTTAAGAATGTTGATTGTTTTGTGCATGTATGAAAAACGTGATCTAGAATGTTTCAATTTACTATTTAAACATGCATCACCTTTTAAAATTTTTATTCTCTGAAGAAGCGATTTCATGAGGTTGTCGAACGTTAGAAATTTATTCTTCGACCTCATTGGGATTTAAAAAATCCAATTCCTTTACAAACCACTTACCTGAAGTTCAACTTATTCAATTTTATCAGGTCGAATTTCGATCCTGAAGTCTTCTAAAGTATCTCTGTGTTCTTTTAGTTCCCACACCTCTTGACATGTTCAATTGCTAAGACTTCTTTTTGCCAATATAGTGCAGAAGAATTTCTCACACTTCAGATGCAGCTTTACTTTTTGCCTCAGTTTTTAGTTGTTTCCGTCAGGTGTAACCGTCTCCAAAATGAATTTATGAAGCTTATAGGTACAACATTGGTTTCTAACAGAGTTATGAGGACGGTTGACACTTCCCGGCGACCCACATCCTGGAAGGCTGTTTGTTCTTGAAGTACCTGAAAGAGATTTATTTGACCGCAGAGCCCACCGGACATCCACTTGAGGCCTGTCACACTCAGACTTTCGTGTATGGTTGTTTTGAACTTTCGTTGTTTTGGGGGCCGGATGGTCGAAAAGAAATGACAAATGAACCAAAACCGCCGGCCCGCCAGACCATGGGGTATGGTGGAGTGTGTTATTTTTTGGGTTGACCTTTTCTAATTCCCCCTTCCACTGAGAAGGCAGCATCAGCATGGCACTGCTTGCTGGTCATCCAAGGGAAACACCTTACCGCTGTAATACCCTATCCAGCTAACAGCAGTACGACTTTGGCCTCAAATCTCCATCATAGTGTAGTAATTTACACCTTAACGGTAACTGCTTTTCTTCTAACCACTATCCAACAACCCTTTCTGGTATGGTAGGACCTTGAGGTAATAAGTGTTTCACCAGCATAGCTCGTTGGGTCATTGTGATATGCAAGCCCTACCACCACCTCAAGGCAGCAACATATCACAACCTTT